GGCCAGCCCTGTAATATGTATTTTAAACACACTGGGGAGTTACAGGGTGTTAAGGGTGAGTACTGTGAGATATCAGTAATGATATGATCTGTGTGATCCTCCCTCAGGTTATCACTCCCATAGGGACACTTTGTTTATTGGGTGTGTGAACTAAACTCTGAGTGATCCTCATCTTTTCATTGTGCCTGTGAACACATCAAGACAACGACTGAGGGATGAAAATTAAAAACGTGTGAGAACTGAAAAGCTTGTGAATTTAACTGATGCTGTGATTAGCACGAAGGGTTTGATTAAAACAATAATAATAAACATAATAAACAGAAATATTTCAATCAAATTTACTGTTGTTGTAACACATATAAATGGAACCAGCATGGACAAATGTAATTAAAGGCAAAAATGCCCAAAAAATATCTTTAAGAATTTTTTTTATATATATAAATTTATATATATATATACAGTACAGGCCAAAAGTTTGGACACACCTTCTCATTCAATGCGTTTTCTTTATTTTCATGACTATTTACATTGTAGATTCTAACTGAAGGCATCAAAACTATGAATGAACACTTGTGGAGTTATGTACTTAACAAAAAAAGGTGAAATAACTGAAAACATGTTTTATATTCTAGTTTCTTCAAAATAGCCACCCTTTGCTCTGATTACTGCTTTGCACACTCTTGGCATTCTCTTGATGAGCTTCAAGAGGTAGTCACCTGAAATGGTTTCCACTTCACAGGTGTGCCTTATCAGGGTTAATTAGTGGAATTTCTTGCTTTATCAATGGGGTTGGGACCATCAGTTGTGTTGTGCAGAAGTCAGGTTAATACACAGTCGACAGCCCTATTGGACAACTGTTAAAATTCATATTATGGCAAGAACCAATCAGCTAACTAAAGAAAAACGAGTGGCCATCATTACTTTAAGAAATGAAGGTCAGTCAGTCCGGAAAATTGCAAAAACTTTAAATGTGTCCCCAAGTGGAGTCGCAAAAACCATCAAGCGCTACAACGAAACTGGCACACATGAGGACCGACCCAGGAAAGGAAGACCAAGAGTCACCTCTGCTTCTGAGGATAAGTTCATCCGAGTCACCAGCCTCAGAAATCGCAAGTTAACAGCAGCTCAGATCAGAGACCAGATGAATGCCACACAGAGTTCTAGCAGCAGACCCATCTCTAGAACAACTGTTAAGAGGAGACTGCGCCAATCAGGCCTTCATGGTCAAATAGCTGCTAGGAAACCACTGCTAAGGAGAGGCAACAAGCAGAAGAGATTTGTTTGGGCCAAGAAACACAAGGAATGGACATTAGACCAGTGGAAATCTGTGCTTTGGTCTGATGAGTCCAAATTTGAGATCTTTGGTTCCAACCGCCGTGTCTTTGTGAGACGCAGAAAAGGTGAACAGATGGATTCCACATGCCTGGTTCCCACTGTGAAGCATGGAGGAGGAGGTGTGATGGTGTGGGGGTGTTTTGCTGGTGACACTGTTGGGGATTTATTCAAAATTGAAGGCACACTGAACCAGCATGGCTACCACAGCATCCTGCAGCGACATGCCATCCCATCCGGTTTGCGTTTAGTTGGACGATCATTTATTTTTCAACAGGACAATGACCCCAAACACACCTCCAGGCTGTGTAAGGGCTATTTGACCAAGAAGGAGAGTGATGGAGTGCTGCGGCAGATGACCTGGCCTCCACAGTCACCGGACCTGAACCCAATCGAGATGGTTTGGGGTGAGCTGGACCACAGAGTGAAGGCAAAGGGGCCAACAAGTGCTAAACACCTCTGGGAACTCCTTCAAGACTGTTGGAAAACCATTTCAGGTGACTACCTCTTGAAGCTCATGGAGAGAATGCCAAGAGTGTGCAAAGCAGTAATCAGAGCAAAGGGTGGCTATTTTGAAGAAACTAGAATATAAAACATGTTTTCAGTTATTTCACCTTTTTTTGTTAAGTACATAACTCCACATGTGTTCATTCATAGTTTTGATGCCTTCAGTGAGAATCTACAATGTAAATAGTCATGAAAATAAAGAAAACGCATTGAATGAAAAGGTGTGTCCAAACTTTTGGCCTGTACTGTATATATATATATATATATATATATATGTGGGTGTCGTTTTTCTTATTACAAAGACCGAAATCACGATGAAGATAGTTTCAGTTTGAATTTATCTTGATATCATATATTTATGTGGTCATTCAATAAGTGTTACTCATTTTATCTCTGCTACAATGCCATGCTGGCTATTTACAGTAGTAGGAGCGAGGCAACACCTGTTAACTAAATTAAAGCTAATATATGCCTTATTGGATTTAATTTTCCCAAAGAAGCACATTTATTTGTTCTGCTTTCAGTGTAAAAAAAAACACGCTCACTATGAAGGCTGCCAGAGAATTTTTGTTTTTTGAAATTGTTTTTTGAATTTGTGTTTGCTGTAATTATATCATTTTTTTAATCAAGTCTTCATTTATTTAAAAGATTATAAACAAAATCACACCATGACAACAACTTTAAATGCAGGAAAAATATACTTGGAACTTAATTGTTTAAGGTACGTTGATTTTAAATATAGAAATATTACACTTACCATCTACAAAAGATTAGAAAAAAATTGGTATGAGAATTAAGTATTCTCTTTCGTAAACACACTTCTGTAAATTGTAACAATCCAAACTGCACTTATATTGGTCCAAAATTATTTGAGTTTGATAGCGGCAGGGCTGTTTGTATGACTGCTGCATTCAGACAGAAGACTCAACCGCAAGGTAATGAATTGAACGAAACGCTGTCTGGTTATATCTGGTAACGTGTTTTATCCTGTTGAAAAGAAGAAGTAAATAAAAGTGTTGGTCAGTCTCTTGTTTTAAATGAACTTTTGCAAAGTAGTTACTAACTGGAGCTCAGTGACCTCTACTCTGACACACTTTCACTGATCCACAGTCAGTCCTGCCGAGCGCTGCTGTGCGCCAGTGTATGCGGACACGGACCAAACCATTGTGAGGCAGATGAGGGGGAGGACGCAATTTTTTTAAAGTTAAAATTCATCGGGTTGCATATATAATGCTTTCAGTTTTTATTATTATGTAGTTTAAAATTATAGAGTTTCCTCAAATGATATATTGGGGGGGGGGGGGGCAATTAACCGTTTTTCCAAAGAAGGGTTTTTGGCTATGTTTAAAGCTGCTTCAAAGTCCCTTCTTTACACCGTATTTTCATTTTTAACACAGAACCAAACATCTGCGGCATAATGTCGCCCCAGTTTGTGATTTTACACAGCATACCAGCATCATGGAAGCAAAAGAGGCATGACATGTAACACGACAGTGTCAGCCTCTAGTGTGACATAACAGACATATCAACAGTGCTTTATAAACGTTAACATGACAACAACAATCATTTACCATTCCTGTTATATGGCGGCTGATCTCGTCTTCTGTTCAGTGGGTAAGGAGCTCCTGCAATTCATTGTTTTCACTGTTTTGCAGACATAAACAGTCACTGTTCTTCTTGAGTTACCTGCTAACTGCTATCAGCTCCTTTTAAAACCTCCCAGCAGTGTGTTGAACATATATAATGTCATCAAAACGTCACACCCATCCCATCCTGCAGGATGTCCCTTTAACACAGACTTGGATTTTGCGCTCTTACTACCTCCACTGCCGTCTGAAAGGCGAGACAACTCTGTACCCCCATTCCATGATTGTACCTTTTATAAATAGTGTAAATAGTTACATGTAATTAAGTTGGTGAAAATGGGTTACATCTGAATTTTTTATTTTTGGTAAAAAGCTTATATGTAGAATAAAACATTCATTCTGTTGCTTTACATCTTTCACCATGCAAGAATCCCTTCTTTTGGCAGGTTTCCACACATTTTTAGGATTTATTGTCCAGTTTTTTAACATTTGTGAGAAAAGTAATCAAACAGTAATCAAATGTAATGAGTTGCATTACTTTGATGAAGAAATTAAAATAATAACAATGCATGTTACATTTTTAACAGGGTAGGCCTAGCTAGTAATCTGTAACCTCGACCAAACAATCAACTAATCAAGAAAACAATCAGAAGATCCATCAATCATGAAAATAACTGAAAGCTGAAGCCCTACTGAGGCTCTTCCTCATCAGTTCATGTTTGGAACAAACAGGTTATTCAGTCTACAGCCACAGTGAGGGCAGACGAGCTCAGAGAGTTGGCTCAGATGCAAAGAAAACAGCAGGAAATGAACGTTTAATTGCTGATAATTCAGTAATGAAAGAGTTTAAGTGTAGTTTCTCTCCTGTGATGTTCTGACGGGAGCCAAACTGAGCTCACATTTCAGCTCATTAGTTGTAACCCGTTACATGAATCCACTTTGTCTGTGAGCTGTTTAAAGTGTTTCTTCTGCAGAAACTCCATGATAATAATCTAAACTCTAAACTCTAAACACAATTAGTGTTGAATGAGACAACACATGAGGCATCATGTGGTTTATGCCTAATTTATGACTGAGCATATTAATCATTATTATAATGTTCTTATTGTGGTATAAATTGTACTTGTAGTTTAACCATTCATTCCTATAAGAACCTACATATCTAAACTCTACTTTCACTAATGATGATAACGTTATATGAATTTAACCAACTGTTATAAAGACAGGCTACATTTACATTTTGTAAACATTTGACGTCTTTTATAACATTTCTGTAATATTTCACCTTATTATCATTTTGTGAACTTTGAATGTATTAAAACTCAGTTTGCGTCAACCTATTCATAATTTATCTTCTTTTTTACACAACACAACTGTAGGATAAATAGCAGGCTACAACTCCTATGGTAAAGTAGGAGCAGCGATGGAGATAAATCGGTAAATCTCTTGTTTAAGTAAAAACAGCAGAAACAGTCTTAAGATCACTTTCCAGGGCTCTCACCCCGGGCTCCTGCTCCCTGTCTCCCACACTGACACGCTCTCTCTCCGGAGCTCTCACCCCGGGCTCAGTCCTACCTTTCCTGTCGGGACTGGGGCAGCAGCAGCGGCCGAGCAGCAGCATCAGGAGCGCCGCTCCTCCTCCTCCTCCCCAAAACCTCATGTCTGCAGGTGTTTCTTTATTTAAATTCCTCAAAGTTTGTCTCCTTGTGATAGTTGAGAACAGATGGTTTCTCCATGAGTCGCAGTGACAGCACAGGCACTCGCGTGTTTGAGGGTTGGAGCGGATCTAGGTGAACTAAGACAGCAGAGAAGTCCACACCTCCTCTGTCTCCACACCTCCTCCCTCTCTCTCTTATTCAGTTTCAGTTAACTTTATTGACATGTCATACACATGACATACATGTGTGGTCGACTTTGCTGAAACTCAACATCATTGTCTGTCAGAGAAAATGCAAATAAAACAACAGCACAAATAAAAAAAACATGAAATAATGTTCATGGAATAAAAAACACTTCACTGCGTCCATTCGAGAGGAGACAGGGAAGAGACAGAGGAATAGGGTCAAATTTTTACCTTAAAGATATTACCAGCGCGCTGGCTTTAATCACCCTAACAGGAGTAAATAAAGTTTTATTAAATTAAAGTAAATGAATCAAATCAACAGAGGAAATTGTCTTCGCTTGTATTTCTTTCTTTCAGAGGCCCCCTGGTGGCCACAGGCCAGTGAAAAGTAACACGTGCATTAACTCAGTGGTGTACGGAAATACAATTTTAAGGGTACTTTTACTTTAGAATTTATGCTGCTTTGTATTTCAACTCCACTAGCCTACATGTCAGCGGGAAATATTGAACATTAATTTATTTATATATTTATTTATTATTTAGAACAAAACATTATGAGCTAATAAAATAAAATTCTCTCTTAAAGACTACACAGCAACTAATTAATATATTTTCATCATCAGTTAATTTATTGTGTAATACATTATATCATAGGCATAGATTTCAGGGGGGATCGGTCTACCCCTAATAAAAACACAAAATGAACGTAGCAGAGGACTTTTATTTTAACTAAATTAAAGACATTTACACAGTAAATTGGTTCATAAAAATTCACCAGAATGTAGGAAATCAAGTGTTTGATGCTCGAAATTTTCTGGTGAAGGACCAAATACTCATTTGTTAAATGAGGCAAATTATTCAGGTATTTTTTTTTTTTTTTCATAAGAAATAATCAAATGTTAGAATAAAGTCTGAAGTCATTTAATTTAGTAATAGTATGATTTTTTGATGACCCTCCATCAGTCTGGACCTCAGGTTGGGAACCAGTGATGGTCCATCAACACAGGAGGTTTTGTTTTACCTTAATTTTAATTTCCTATTGAATAAAGTAAAGGAAATAATATATGGTTATAGAAATGCGATCCTGTCAAACCTGCTGCTCTCCTCAATAGAAAAACAACACAAAGTGAAAACACAAAGTGAAAACAAAAGGTGAGTCATGTGAGCCAATGTCAAATATGAACAGAGAACACAATGATGAGACATGTGATCAACCTGAACAGATGAGGAATGTTCAGCAAACATCAGACAAACATTCACACGCAGTTGAATCATAAGAATGTCAGTGTGTACTTTCAAAAGTTTTCTTCATTTAATTTTTCCTGGTTTCAGAGTGGCCTTTGTTTCAAATCACATGTTCATCATTTCTTTCTTAAGTACTTTGTTTCTTCTAAATAAAAATTTCTTACTCAAAAATAATTCTCTTTAATCTCTGCATATTGCAAAATAATTGTTCCACTGTGAATTTTGCACATCCCCTGATTAATATTTTTGCACATCCTGCTCAAAACTGTGCAGCTCTCTTATTCTGAAACTGCTATATTGTACATATTTGTTTGATAAAAGTATTTTTTTTTTTTTTTTTTTCACTACAGTGTCTACTACAGTTTGGGTGGCGGGGGAAGTAGGGGAGTACAGGCTGGAGTCGAGCCTTGGCTGCTGCGGCATGGGGCGCCTGCTCTATCCAGTAAGCCACCAATGCCCCAAAGAACTGAGAGACTTAGAAGCTGTGATACTTGCCAAATGGGGCGCTACTATGTTCTGACCATGCAGGGTGCTCAAACTTCCTTTTTTGTTATTTTGAAACTGTAAAAGATCTAAATAAAAAGTAATCTTGCTTTGACTTCCTGCCTTTTGGAAATCAGTTCATCTTGTACTCACTTAACTATTCACAGTTAATGAAATTTTGATCAGGGGTGCCCAAACTTTTGGATGCCACTGTATATTGTAACTTTTCTGTTCTATATTGATGTTCTTGAATGTTATGCCTTATTTCTATTCCTTTTAATTTGTTTATTGTATGTTTAGTATATGCACCAAATACCAAAGAAAATTTGAGAGAAGTGAAGTGAAAATGTACTTTGTGATAAAACTGATTCTGATTGAAGTCAGAGAGTGGCAGAAACACACATCGAGAAATGTACGTAGTAATTTTGGACTATTTGAAGGGGTTTTTTTTAAGCTTGAGAAGTTATTGTCAGGTGCCATTCTGTTGATCATGTGTGGACATTTTAAAAAGTTTATTTCTACAGGTTGATGAAGGTTCATTTTCTGCAGCTTTTGAGAGCCCGATCTTCTTTCTCTTTCTCTGAGTTCTTCTCTGAACACCAACATTAATTATCCTCTGATCTAAAGTTATCAGAAAGCTCTGATGGCTGTGCTGGTTGAGAAGCAGGTTTTGAAATGAAAAAAGAAGAAAGAGCTTTGAGCCCAGACCAGCTGAGTATAAACCAGGAGTGGAGACCTTGTGGGACAACAGGACATGCAGATCTGGATCAAAGCTCAACAACAAATTGACAGTACAGTCAAAAGTTACAAGTTTTTTCTCTCAGGACAGATGGAGGTGAAGTTTCAGTCTGATCATCTTTCTCTCTCTGCTTGTTCGTCAGTGCTGAAGAAGTCCAGAGGGGAAGGACACTGACAAGAGAGGTGGAGAGGAGAGATCAAACCTTGACTTGGGTACTTGACTGTTTGTGTTTGTTCAGTTTGAAACAGACTTAAAACTCTCACAGTTTTTTTAAAACGGTTTTGTGTCTCACTACATTTTCTAAATGATATTTGACTTATTATTAAATAAAAATCTCAGTTTAGTGTACAAATTTTAAAAGCCTGGTGGATCTACCAGTACTGCAACAGACATGTTTGTATTCTATTAATCTGCTGGTCATTTTCCTGATAGGTCATTAACTGAGTCATTGGATCTAAAAGAAATCAGATGACAGTGAGACATGTCTGTCCCATTTTGTCCCATCTTCATACATGTCATTTTGTCTTAAACCAGAAAGAACAAAGAACATTGTTTCTTTAATACATTTCTTTTATATAAAAATGTATTTCACGATCCAGTGTGTAGGATTTTGGGGGAAATATTGTCAGAAATAGAATATAATATAATCAGGATGTTTTTTTAGTGTATAATCACCTGAAAATAAGAATTGTTGAATTTTTAGAATGAACCATTTATATCTATATAGGGAGCAGGTCCTCATCTACAGCATGGATGTATAAAGAGACCTAGATACAGCATTGGAGGCAGGGCCCCACTTATTCCTATAAAAGCTGCTTAGTGGCACATGAAGCCAAAAAAGCTCTAATTTCACGGTATGAAAACACCCGGATCCTCCACATTATGGGGCCCACAAAAAAGGTGCACAGTTGACTTACTGCTGCTGAGTATGGCAGTTTAGCTCCGCTAACTTGGATGGGTAAATTGATTTAATCTTATGGCTCTTCTAGACTTTCCAAATGTTAATGGTCCCTATGGATCAAATAATGAAAAAAATCATTTCACAGTGGATGTAACGCTCTAAAAAATGTTTCCACTGATTTACAGATGAGATGATTTACAGAATGAGATAAGATCACAGATACAAGTGAAGTCTGATCAGGATCCTGCTGGATGCCTCCTGTTAGGAGTGTTATGGGCACATCCAACTAGCAGGAGGCCCCTGGGCAGACCCAGAACAAGGTGGGGGGATTATGTATCTCATCTAGCCTGGGAGGGAATCCCCCAGGAGGAGCTGGCAAGTGTCACTGGGGAGAGGGACATCTGGAGTACAGTACTTTGCTCAGCCTGCCGCCCCCCATGACCTGGCCTCAGATAAGTGGATAGATGGATGGATCATTGTCAATTCTAATCATACGTATTGCATTAACTCACCCAGATAAGGCTGTGTCAGACACAATTTGGTTTGAGCTGTGCACTGCAGGTTCAGTGCACACAGTGCAGCTACAGTGCAAACTTGTTGATCAGTGTGGTCATACTTTAAGGTTATTATTATAGTTATTAATACAGTCAGTTGCACTTAGGGCACCCAAATGGCCAAATTATGAAAACAAAATATCAGAATAGTTGCAGTGGTGCTTTTACAGCAACTCCTTTATCAATCTGCTGTGGCTTCCAAAGCTGTTTCACTTCACTGTTGGGAAGTCAAGTTTCCTGATGTTTTTTTTCTTTCTCTAAACTGATCTCGAACTAAAAACAGAATGTTAAAATTGCAGAGCTCAGACACCTCTTTACTTTCTGTTTCAAAATCATTACATTTTATTTAACGTGTCTCTCCTTCCTTCGCCGTCTGTTTGTTTATCATGTGTTCATGCTAATGGGGTCACTGATTTCACCCACACTGCAGTATTCTCTGCATTCATAATTAATCACTCCTCTGTGCTTTTCTGTTGTTTACCTAAAATCCTTCGTGTGTAGCCACTCGTTTCTCGCCAACAAAGCAGAACAAAAAACCCTTAATGGATTTTCTTGTTCATTTGTGTTTAATAAAATGTGACAGCGTGTCGCCGGGCAGAAAAGACTCAGTTCACATGTGGGTCAGAACTGAGGTCAGGTGAAGCTAACAGCTGACTGTTCACCTGAGAAACAGCAGCTTCACAAACACAATGAGGATGACTGAAATTGAATTGAAACAAGATTCTCACTTACCTTTATCTGTTTTATCACGTTTGTCTCATTTCTTTGACTGACAGCTGATTCATAGATGAGTCGTGTTTCTGATGAACGTCAGAAATAATGTTTATTTTCACTCTGTGTGGAATGTTTTTGTAGTAAATCCAGTAACATGAGCCTGACCACACACACACACACACACACACACACACACACACACACACACACACACACATGAATTCCAAGATCTGGTCCTGATTAATCCCATCAGTGTGACAGTTGCAGTGTCTTAGCATGCCCTCTTCAACAAGTTACAACACAAACACACACACACACACACACACAC